CTCATAATAAATGGAAGCTGGAAGTGCTTGCTTGTTTCAATAGATTATGCGGAGATTGTACAGTCAGGTACAAAATACTTAATTTAACACTTATGTTAAGCTCAAGTACCTGACTTAAAAGTCTCCGAAGCACTCTTCGTGTTCGGGTTTCGGCACCTTTATGTTTCTAACGACATAAATTAATTATTTAATGTATGAAATGAATTAAAATATGGATAAAATGTATTAAATAAAACAACTTTTTTAGGCTGTCAAAATTGAAGTGTGATTAATTAAGTATTTTGTTTGTAAGAAAAAGTTAAAAAACAATTAAAACTCTTTTGTTGGTGCTCAACAAATGTGACTCATGGACAAGAACTAGTACATGTTTTCCTAACAATTTTAAGTTTGAGTTGACATTATTTACCATTTATTTTACTAGTTACTTAGTTAGTCCATTGAATAGATCATTACGACGTCGTCGGTCCACCTTGTAGGTAGTAGTAATTGGTCTAAATATTATCAATCTAAATAAGTAGATTAGTCCAAAATAATAAAATGCGTTAATTCATTTACTTTTATGTCCACGAATTTCGTACCGCCGGTAAATATCCCTTTTTGAAAATATTAGCCTATGTTCATCCTACTAGTCCTAGGAAAGACATAGGATAGTTTTTATCCCGGTTTTTGAAACAGGGACGCACGCGATAAAGTTTTCTGTGACAGACAAAATTCCACGCGGGCGAAGCCGCGGGCGGAAAGCTAGTTAGTCATAAACATGTTAATATCCTATGAAGTGGCACTGTTATTGATAATCTGCATGAACTTATAATATTATATTACAGGGTAATTAAGTATAATAAAAAAAAAACAAAAAGCGAAGCTTTTAATGCTCTCTAAAAAGAATAAAATAAACCCAACAATTGATTATATTACTAAATTTTTATAAGAATAAATAAGACTTGACATCAGGTATAATAAAAAAAAAAACTAATCACTAATATCAAGCAAACCACCGACTATCACAAACAAGTTAATATTTAATATTATGATTCGCCGCTAGATGGCGCTGTGCTCTGTTGGCTCGCGCTATCATTTGATTTTTTTCTGTTTTATTAAGTAAGAGCCTCATATGTCATACCTAATAACAAACAAATAATAAATGTATCACATTTTTATTTTTATTTAATTTTTGCGCGGATTCCAGTTTTTATCTAGAGTCTGTTATTTATCATGTAAAATACGTGTACAATTATTGTAACATCATTCAAACAAATGGTTCTATCCTTCCTAACTCCTATTCTCGTAAGGATGTAATTGCTTATCCAGCCCCTAAAGGATTTTAATGACGCTATATTTTATAATAAATAATTATTTAATTTATTGAATTAGATTTACCAACAACACCTTCATACAAACAAATATTAATGCATGATTACAATACTAAAACTTTAACTGTAATACCACGGTAATACTATACCACAGATTTTAATACAGTAAGGCTGGGTTGCACCATATTACTTTAACTTTGTCAAACGTCAAAAATCTGTCAAACTCCATTACTAAAAGTTTTATCGTTATAGCTACGGTCAAAGTTAGGTGGTGCAACTCAGCCTAAGATCGCATTCACATTTAGGCGATTTAGCAGCGCGACAAACGCGCGTCGCGCGTTTGTCGCACCTAATTTGAAAGTGCTCTAAATCAGGGATGTTATGGATATCCGTAACCGTAACCGAAACTTTCGGATATCCGAAATAAAAAAAATATCCGAAACCGTAAGCTTAACCGATTTAAAAGTTTCGGATAGTTTTGGATTTAGTTAGTAGGCAGTTTAAATTGTTTTTGTATACCTAGCACTATATGTAAAGGCATAACAGCACAATAACAGCCTGATTTACCTTTATAATGCCATCTATTATCAATGTTTATTATTTTTTATTACTTTTTATTCGATGTTTACATCAATTGACAACTGTTGCAAATTGCATTCTAAAGCGCAGATATCCGTAACCGGAACCGAAACTTTCTGATATCCGAAATAAAAAAATATCCGTAACCGTAACCGAAACCGGTATAATATTATTCCTATATCCGTAACCGTATCCATAACCGAAACTACATATCCTTATCATCCCTACTCTAAATAGATCAGGAATCGATCCCGCGACCTCGGTCATAGTGAACTACTAGGCCAGGGGCCCGTCCGTAGCATGAATGTAGGGCTTGTTCCCACACGGTAATTCAGTTTTGCGGGAAGAGACTGTCATGGTGTTTGTTTGAAATTCGAATTACGAATTGGATTGTTTTGTTTTTTCGGGATCCTACAAACGGGATGTTCGTGTGAACGTTAATACTAAAACATTTTATACTACAAAACGAGATCCTGCATAAAACCGTTCCCGCAAAAAACGGGCTGGATAAGAGAAAGTCCTAATTAAAGTCATCGTAATATTTCCCAACCTGTCCCATACACCCTGTATAAAGCTAAATCCGTCGGAAATTAGTATTTTATGGTATTGCCGGCCGCAAGCGATGGTCAATTTGTATGGGTGTCCCATGAAATAATTGATGCATGGATTAAATTGCATCTAATGGTCACAATCGATAAATTAGCTGGCTGGACCGCCCATGCTATAAATAAATTTTAATTAAAGTTTTTAGTTTTGATTTAGGTACGTGAGAATCTGACTGACTGACATATCAACGCACAGCCTAAACGGCTAAACGTAGGCACTTGAAATTTGGAAGGGACGTAGCTTAGGTACCGTAGAGGTCCACTAAGAAAGGAATTCCCGAAATTCCCACGGGAACGGGAATTAGCGGGAAAATCCTTTGTATGAAAAATCTAAACCGCTTAAGTTAGACACTTGAAATTTGGCATGCAGGTACCTTGGTAAACTTAAAGCTTAGTTACAACAGGATATTGCAAAATTCCCACGGGAACGGGAGTTAGTGGGAAAAAACATTTGTATGAAAATTTTAAACCGCGTAAGATAGATCAAGGGGGTAAAACGGGATCCACACTTACGAAGTCGCGGGCGGCCGCTAGTAAAGATAGAAAAGTTATTTTGTAAAAGAAAAACATATCAGCGAAATAGGTACGGTTTATGTACAAAAAATCCACAAACTAAACATTCAATGCTGAATCAATTACAAATTCGTGATACTTTACTATTTGAAACAATATTTTTTAAATGTTAACCAATTAAGACTCGCTTTTTGAAATTGGTAAAGTGGTGATAACTAACTAAGTTTCCTTTCGCTCCAAGCTTACTTTGTACAACAATTAATGGATAGGTTTAGAGTTAATTGGATCTAACGTGTATTTATTCGCTAATAACGGACGGTGTAAACCGGACGGGTACGCTCGCTGAGAAAATGCATCAAAATTGCAATTTTGCAACACATATTTTTGCTAGAAATATTAGCTTTCAAATGTGGAAGGGCAGCAAATTGTAATTTAGTTATTTTATGAGCTTAGGTCTTGAAATAGATTCCAATAAATGCTGCGATGTAACGTAAAATGTAAGAAATTAGATAAATGTGAAATGGAAAAACGAAGGGATTACTTTATGACGTGTCCGGTGATAATGACAACGGTAAATACTCAGTTATTGTTTACTTGATAAATGTTGTTGATGCCATCTTATAGACCCTTCATCATCATCATCATTTCAGCCATAGGACGTCCACTGCTGAACATAGGCCTCCCCCAATGCTTTCCATGTTGATCGATTGGTAGCGGCCCGCGTCCAGCGCTTCCCTGCTACCTTTACGAAATAGACCCTTACAAAACTTCAAATATCATTTATAGTAGCAATAGAGCGTGCGACTGTACCAGCTATCTCTACAAAAAGGCCAAAAGCCGTTTCATACGGTTATTCTAAGTATCTCACTCCCGTCAGCGCTATCGGCTGTCTTCCGCTAGGTACCTCACTCTTCCCGCCAGCCTCCGATAGCAGAGATTAATTAAATTTAGCGTAAATAAACTGCATCCGCCATTATTAGACTACAGAGTAAATCGGTGTTCAAATTACCACGTGGTATTATTATTTCTTAGGTATTGAATAGTAAATTAAATAGATATTATTGAGAGATAGTCACTATCGTTTTGAAGATCTAGTTAGTTCTAAAAGGCATCCACATAAAGTTGAGTTATAAGTTTTTTTTCATATTAAGGACTTTATTATTATGTTTGGAGGCAATTTTATTCCATGGTAGATAGCCATATAACACGTGGGTAGGGCATCCTTTGTTTTATAAAACAGTTGAAGCTTTTCGTGTGTGTAAAATAGGGCGAACTTTGCTTTCATATCCAATTAAAACTTATTGAAATCTAATGTTAAGTCCACTTTGTACTCAATTGTATCCATTACCATCGAGATCATAAAAACCAATGCTACAAATGCTCATTCGCAATCTGCATAATCGATTCTCTATCGGATGCACACATATTAGTGGTTCTAATTATTATTTATCAGGGACTCGTATGATTGTAACCGCATGTTATGCTATTGATTCTTCAAGTAACTGCTGCGGTGGGCTACCTTGTTAAAGATGTTTACGACTTGTTTGTTTTATACTCTGCAGGTCTCATTTAACCCTTTACGAAAGGAGTGGGAAATATTTTCCCGCTAACCGCCTCTCTGGTTTAGTGTTTTAAGACTCTTCCTGCTTGAAGCCAGATTCCCAGTGGGTCAGATTTTTCTGTTCGGTTTGGTTGGTGGTAGGACTTGTTCTAAGTCCACCTATCTAGTTGCCACCATCTTGCCTAAGTCTGTCGCCATAACAACAATGTTAACACTATTGTTTTGTTCCGGTAATTGGAGGTAAGATAGCCAGTTCCTCTGTGGTTGAGGATTCCGAGTAAAACTCGCCACCTTCAGCCTGATTATCGCTTTCCATCAGGTAAGATGCAGGTCAAGAGCTTTTTCTATATAGATTTAAAAACCCTGACTTTTTTACTTGTCTTATGGTTCACAAATTAACTAAGATGTTTTGATCTTGCTGTCTGCTAAGGGGTTAAAAGTTTTCTGTAGCTTTTTGTTTTTAATAATTGCCTATGGTATATGTATTTGTGTGGACGGACTGCGGTAAATAATAATTTATCTAGCGGAAAATGTCTAGGCAATTAATTAATGATGGCAATGCATCTACGAGAAGCTTAAAAAGACACAAATAATTATGTACCTAGAGGATAAGTAGAGATAGCAAATAAAATAATGCTAAGAAGCAGGATTAAGGCAGTGTCCACATCATATAGACACTGCCTAGATGTAGATAGAACTTTAATATTAATATTGTCCAGGTATATTACCTAGTACCTTGGCATACAGGTGTGGAGCTGTGGATTGCTTAAAAGGCATCAAGTAGTCTTAATCTGGCACTGACTAAATAAACAAACACACCATGGGAAACTTGCATCAGCTATGCGGGGTAAGCTCAATGAGGGCTATCGTTTTTTGGCACCCCTGGCGTTTGACAGGACCTCATTCTACAGTGGCGCCATCTTGATGAGTGCAAATGCGATAGTCCTCCTACCACTTTAGCGCTCACCAGTTGGTGCCACTGTCTTCGCTACTAGCAAGTAGGGCATGTAATATCGGAAGGTTTTCAATTCCGATATTGGATTCCGATATTAGATCTCAATATCGGAATTCCGATATTAATATCGGAATTGAGGTCATGTGCTATAAAATTAATATTTGGTTATATTCGTAAGAATTCTGGATTGTTTACAATAAAATAATGATTTTAATCAATATCTTTAATTTGGTACAAAACAGCACTTCATAAAATTGAAGTATTTTAAAACCATTTTTACGTTATGGGTACCTATCCATTGCATTTGGATTTTTATGTGACAAGAGGTAAACGAGCAGACGGATCACCTGATAATGAATGGTTACTGATAATGAGCCTATAATATGGACTAGCAAATAATTAAAGTGTTTTTGTAAAATCACAGGTATCAAACAAACTTTTTTACTCCTTTATTATATTACCCTGTTTTATGTTGGCGGAACGAATTTTAGAGTCATTCAAATCACGTGTTACAAAAATTGTAGAGAGTGGTAAAAAACTTGAATATGCTTGTAATTTCTTCCTTTTTGATTATCGATGTACAACTCACAAAACCATCATCATGTCAGCCATAGGAGGTCCAACACAGGCTCCGATGCTGATTTTCACAATGGCCGGTTGGTGGCGGCCTGCATTCAGCGCCTTCCTGCTACCTTTATGAGGTCGTCGGTCTACCTTGTGGTTATGAGTCCTACGCTGTGCTTTTCGGTACGTGGCCTCCACTTCAGAACCTTGCTGCCTCATTGTCTGTCTGTTTTGCGTACTAAGGCAGAACCGTTGGAAGACCTTATCACAATGCTCAAAGACCTTAATCGAGTTTCCCAACAGGTAGGCCTTCGGATGAATATGGAAAAAACGAAGCTTATGTCGAATGTCCATGTTGCTCCTTACCCAGTTTCGGTTAGGAGCTCGATTCTCGAGATTGTTGACAAGTAAGTATGTCTATCTCGGACAAACGATCAGCTAGGTAGTTAGATGCAATTTCGAGAAAGAGGTAAATCGTCGAATACGAAGACGAAAGTCTTCAATTAGTGTGTGTTACCAGTGATGATATACGGCTCGAAAACGTGGCCTTTGAATATAGGGCACAACGTGCTATGGAGAGGGATAAGCTTGGTGTTTCTTTACGAGATCTAATCAGAAATGAGGAGCTCCGTAAACTAACTAAGGTCGCTGACATAGCCCGACGGATTAGCAAGCTGAAGTGGCAATGGGCAGGGCACATAGTACGCTGAACTGACGGGGTCCATGTCCAGTAAAATTAATGTTTGAAAGGGAGTTGATATGTCGTTCTTTGTGGACCAAGTACCTATGGCAAATGCTAAAATTGATTAAGGTCAAGTTAAATTAACCATAAATAAAGTTAACTTAAGTTAGTAAAGATATTAAAATATTTGCAGTGGAACAAAAAGTGATGGTGAGAGACATGAGAAAATCATCGGTCTTTGCCAATCATGTACTTTGGGCTTTGTGGCAGGTTGTGCCGAGTTTAAACGCTTTGTTTAAAATCTCAATTAAAACTTTTATCTGATTCCGATATTACGATATTGGGTCGCTCAATATCGGAATTGAAATATCGGATCTCGCAGTCCGAGATTCCGATATTACGAGATTCCGAGATTCCGATATTCATGCCCTACTAGCAAGTGACAGGACCTTACTCTACAGTGGCGCTAACTGGTGAGCGCTAAAATGATAGCCCTCATTGACTAGGACTTAGCTTAGCTCTTGGTCTACATGAAGTACCTACCTACTTAGTTCTTCCAACTTAACTTTTTAATAATTTCCAAAAATAAGACGTTTGGGAAGACGTCTCAGAAAGAAATTGACATTTGACTTTGTGTCGGAATCTCAGTCGGAACATGCTAAGAGAAAAACTATAAAATTAATGAAAATTAAGCATAAAATAAGTTTAGGATTCAAGTGATTAATATTCATTTAGGTAAAGTAGGTATCTGTGGTAAAGATGACCTGGAACCCTGGTCCGATGAAGTTTTGGGACGGAGTGTATGAGCATCCGAAGGAATTCTTTGACCCCAAGGACGAGGCTAGAAGCCAGGCTCAATATTTCATTGAGCATCCTGAAGTAAGCTAATATGTTTTAAATCCTTTTTATTATCTTCCAGCTCGTGTTCCTAAAAAGAGTTTCTCAGATGTAAAATTCTACTCAGTGGTTTCATTGTCGTTTCGCTCTTTTCAAAGCGGTCGTGGTCACGTAAAGGTACTTCTTTTTCCAGGTTCAAGCTCTCGCTTCTCTGTTCATTGCCCACATGTCCAGGAAGCCGGTCATAGATCGCTTTGAGCTGAGAGACGCTGGGTACTTCTTCACCAGGCCCGCTGATGTGTTACAGGTAGAAGTCGAGGAGGTTCTGAAGAAAAACAATAGGTTTGGACCTAGGGAGGAGATGAGGAAGAAATACAGACAGGTAATTCAATGACTTGAAGAGATTTTTATAACTTTTTTTAAATAAATTGAGCTCCGCATTGTATAAATTTCGGCTTGCCATACATGAATAGCTTGAAACATCGAATACAGCTCCAAGCTGCAACTGCATAGCAAGCAACAGTATTCTACGTACACACATACTTAGTTACACGGAACCGCTTGAGCAGTCACAACTGCTTCCGTAGTTTGCTATGTCCGAGTATGGTGGGCTTTAGTAATTAAATTTTATATCTCAAAAAACTTTTTTTACAGAATCCGATACCCCGTCCAGGGTCTGTCCCAGACTGTGCGTGTCCATCACTGAATACTCCTTCGATTGATTCTGTCTACTCTTCGTTCATTTCTCATTCCAGTTCTGCTTCTACACTACCCACTATTGCTGTTAAAGGTAAAAAAGCCCGAAAGCTGGTCTTGCCTTTTTACTCCTAGACTAAGTACATACATCGCGTTAAACTGAAGATTCGCGCTATGTGCATAGTCGCAAGGACTTCATTCTGTCGCGATGTATTTGGCTAATGAAATCTTAACCTACATAAAATTACAATATTTTCAGAGCAAGTCACTCCTAGATTGGACGAAGCATTGTGGCAGCTGGTGACTCAAGCTCTAAACAATGCGTTGAACAACATGTATGTGGCGAGAGAACACGAGCTATATTACGATGAAGCCTATCTGTGTCTCATGGGCTGTATGCAGAAGGCGGTCGAGACCGTCTGGGGACCAAAGATCCAAGAGATAACTGGGATTATCGACTCTATTATAGACGACGTAAGGCGTATTACATCTGAAAAGCGCAGACGTTAGTATACCGCCACCAGTCATGTAGCTTAAATTCCTACTATCCTGTATTCTTCTGGCAAAACGCAAGATTCCGCCTGTACCTACTGTACTGTTGCAATGCAGAGCGGTTTGCCAGAACCATCATGGCAATTTTTCCGTGTTCCTTTACCTTTTCATATTTTTATTTGTATTTACAGTGAAACTATTGATGACTGATAAGCTGCCTAGCAAAGTAAACAGATTGAAGACTGACTTCAAAGGTAACAAATTAAATTTTAAGTAAGTAACTGGACTCGTTATAAGTAAGTACGACTGTTTGCTTTAATTGGACACTTTCTTAACAGGTTACGAAGAAAATCCCGATTATCCAGACCTGAAGAAAAAAGAAATACTGGAAACCTTAAAATCTAGACAAGGCACCTACAATCGCTATCCGAAAGATAAGTTTGGAGTTTATTTGCCCACTTGCGACAAAAGCTTAGATGTAAGTGTCACTTACGTGCCCCCTGGATGTGATGAAGAAGAGGAATCCCTGAATAAGACTGATGATGAACTGCCCCTTGATGATAATGAATAGAATCTATCTATTTTGGAGCTTTAAAATGTTGTTGATGAAGTTATGTGGTAAGAATTTTATTTTGCTAAGAGAAGTTTATAAGAGGTTTAGTTTGTGAACACTAAGGATAGCCAAGTGATATTAAGTGGATTTTACTGTAAGCTATTTAATAATATTCAGTTTAAGTTGATTTTACCATGACCTTGTTCATGCATGACGTGTTAGTGAAATTACGATTATGTTATTCTAGTTTATAATTTTGGTTTGGTTAATATAATAATGTGTACCAAGTAAAAAGTTAATTAAATGTTTTTAATATTAAAAAGGTTTTTTTTTTACATTTTGTAGGCTGTAAGAAATATTATTTTTGCAATAATATATTTGACAAGAAAAATGTGTCAGGATTTTAACAAGTAGCTTAGTGTTGTATGTGATGATTTGTTTGAAAATATCGACTAATCGTAAAACATATTTTTTTGGATTAAAGTTTGAAATAAATATTACATTTAAGAAAATTGTTTACGAAAAACTTGATAGATTATTTTATAAATTTTTTACAGAGTTCAGAATTTATATTCAAACCCAAAATTACTGCGATTTTTTATAATATTATTAATTGTTAAAACTTACATTCAAATTCGCCGCGATTCTCATTATTAATTTTAGCCTTATAAACTGGTAATTAACCTCTATAACGATATACTAATAATACTTTGACATTTTATTGGGGCTTGGAAAGGGACAACAACATAAANAACATAAAGTAAACATCGATATGCGTCTATCGATATATCGATATGTTTGATCAATCATTATACAACACTACTTGTCAAAACTGTCAATTCATGTTGTTTTGTTGTTGAGGTTATTTTTCAAAACATCGCCGGATTTATCTGAATTTTGTATAAAATGTCGAGCAAACCCAATTCAAAGCGAACGATATACGTAGGCGGCCTCGCCGAGGAGGTTGACGAGAAAGTTCTCAATGCAGCATTCGTTCCTTTCGGTGATCTGGTGGACGTGCAAATACCTCTTGATTATGAGACAGAAAAGCACAGAGGTTTCGCTTTTATCGAGTTCGAAAACGCTGAAGATGCTGCCGCTGCGATCGACAACATGGTGAGTACAGTATCTTGCACCAAATGTGTACATTAATCTAGCAAACAACTATCAATGGATGACGCTAACAAAGTGTATTTTGAAGCTGTTTGGTGAGTTTTAGAGATAATTAATGCATATTTTTACTGAATTATTATGTTGTGTACTAGTAACGTAACACATATTTTTAGTGAAAAATATCAAATACTGTGTTAATCAACATTTACATTCTGTACAAATCTTTATCAATGTAACCTATAATTTCCAGAATGATTCGGAGCTCTTTGGCCGAACAATCAGAGTGAACATAGCAGCCCCGCAACGCATTAAAGAAGGGTCCACTCGGCCGGTTTGGTCCGATGACAATTGGTTGCAGAAGCATGCTGGTGAGACGCTACCTATAAACAAAGACAGCGAAGAAAACGGAGTTAAAGAAAAAACAGACGCAGACAGTGTAAGTATGAGTAGAATTCAGTGTGCTTTTTCTAAATGGAATCATAAACATTATTTGAAAAATCATCATGAACCTTTTCCTACTTTCAAAATTCATTTAAGTTGGGAAAAGGTTGTAATAAAAGTCAAATTACATTATCTGTATTTGTAAAATTGTCTATATTGTTTGTCACTGTCAAACTCTATTATGTCATAATGTAAACATAATTAAATTATTGCAGAAATCTTAATTAATTTATAGAATCTAACTTTATTATTGTGCTGATTACTTATTACAATGTCCATAAAAAATATAGAATGTGGCTGTGCACCGGACAATAAAGGACAACCTAAAGTAACATTTACTCAGAATGTATGAACAGAATAATGTTTCATATTTAATAGTGTTCGGCCCAGGAAATGTTGGGAGAAGTGTCGCGCCGTCAAATCCTACTAATATTATAAATGCGAAAGTTTGTGTGGATGTTTGTTACTCTTTCACGCAAAAACTACCGAACGGATTTAGATGAAACTTTATAGTATATCTAAATATATAAAAGGAGAAACTGACTGACTGACTGACAGATCAACGCACAGCCTAAACGGCTAAACGTAGGCACTTGAAATTTGGAAGGGACGTAGCTTAGGTACCGTAGAGGTGCACTAAGAAAGGAATTCCCGAAATTCCCACGGGAACGGGAATTAGCGGGAAAAACGGGATTTACGCGTACGAAGTCGCGGGCGGCCGCTAGTTGATTATAACCCAGAATAACATATAGGCTATAATTTATGACGATATGTAACAAACTAAATTTCACGCGGGTGAAGCCGCGGGCAAAAGCTAGTTGTTCTATAAAATTTTACAGCGGCGGCTGCTGTGCGGCCCCTATGGCTAGTGGTGCTGTGCAGAGAGGAGCAGAGAAGTGGAAATAATTAAAACTGATTGGTTATTATTCAAAACTCTGCTCCACCTTAGTGGAAACCAGGCCTTTAAGTGGAATTAACATACATCTTGTCTGATAAATGCATATTATTGGTGACAACTTAAATGTTTCTTTATTTACCTATATCTGTTATATAGATTTTCTTAAAATCTACAATAGGCACCAGTTCTCACAATGCTGATCTATAGTTAAACAGATATCCATAATGTTAACTCCTAAGTATGTTCTAATCCAGCGGTTCCCAAACTTGTTTTGTCTACTGCCCACTTTGAGAATAAATTCTTTTCAGCGCCCCATTTGTAGTCGAGAGTCGAGTGCTCAGTCGGTGTCTAAGAAACCTCCTAGTAAATGACGCCTCAGAAGCCTCTACGTCAACGTCCCGATTTTTTTTCTGGGTCTCTTACCGCCCCCCTTTTTAGCCTGCAGCGCCCACAAGGGGGCGTTATCGCCCACTTTGGGAAAGACTGTTCTAATCTGTTGTGAGAGAAATAAATAAATTTTATTATTATTTTATTTATTTTCAGGAAGCACCAGCAAAACCTGTAGAGAAGAGGAATCCCCAAGTCTATTTTGACATCAGCGTGGGCAAGCAAGAGATCGGCAGGATAATAATGATGCTGCGAGCTGACGTAGTCCCGAAGACAGCGGAGAACTTCAGAGCGCTGTGCACACATGAGAAGGGTTTCGGATACCAGGGCAGCAGCTTTCACAGAATCATTCCAGATTTTGTATCCTTTTTAATAAGTTCTATTGGACAATTTTNTATTTACCTATACCTGTAATATAGATTTTCTTAAAATCTACAATAGGCACCAGCTCTCACAATGCTGATCTATAGTTAAACAGATATCAATAATGTTATCTCCTAAGTATGTTCTAATCTGTTGTGAGAGAAATAAATAAATTTTATTATTATTTTATTTATTTTCAGGAAGCACCAGCAAAACCTGTAGAGAAGAGGAATCCCCAAGTCTATTTTGACATCAGCGTGGGCAAGCAAGAGATCGGCAGGATAATAATGATGCTGCGAGCTGACGTAGTCCCGAAGACAGCGGAGAACTTCAGAGCGCTGTGCACACATGAGAAGGGTTTCGGATACCAGGGCAGCAGCTTTCACAGAATCATTCCAGATTTTGTATCCTTTTTAATAAGTTCTATTGGACATTTCTCCAGTATTGTCTACAGTAATACAGTGATATGTGATTGTACTTATCACCAAGCGAATATTGCTCCATTGTTGAAAATGAAGAACACAATAATAGTGTTTACTTTAAATAGAACTATGTATCTAAAGTCCTTCCTAGTATTAATATTATAAATGTCATGATGTCATGATGGATGTTTGTTACTCTTTCATGCATAAACTTCTGAACGGATTTTGTTGAAACTTTACAGTATTATTGTTTATAACCCAGATTAACATAGTTACAGGCTATAATTTATGACGATATGTGACAAACTAAATTTAAATAAATAAAATTAAGACGTGGGTAAAAAACGCCATCTATCGTCATTGGTTAAAATTTTGACGTTCGTAAATATTCATGCGGGGAAGCCGTTAAGCGCCATCTATCAACATCATTAGTAATTAAACGTGGTCCAAGGCACAGAATAAGTAATAGTACAGGTACAGAAGGATTACTCCGCACGACGATTTAAATAAATGCGAGTCTTGCTGCGACGCGATACAGTGGAATTCAGCTCGCACAGCACTACGTACCTACAATTTTATTCACCTACAAGTTTTGTCTCTTTCTATCGCGTGCCTCTGAACTCTTCTTACGCTGTTAGGGTTGCTGTCTAGTGAAAAAATAATTAATCTACTTATTTGTAATGAGGTACGTATGTAGGTAAGTAAAAATAACATTTCAAATATACCTAATTAGGATTAAAAAAACTTGTTCTATTACAATGTCTTCATTCATACCTATTTTAACATAAGACAGATAAATTAAACATACTATTACAGAAAAAAAAGAATCCTATACTATCCTAAGAATTTTATTATTGATTACCTACATGGCCAACATACCTTTCAGCATCTTTGGGAAGCGAAAAAAAAAGATAAATCCGGTAATTTCTTTTCGAATTTAAACACCCGAACGCCGCACAATATTTCTTTCTCTTTATGTCCATTTTTAAATAATACTTCGATCATATAATTATAATCATTATAAAACGCACGCCAGCGTCCTGACGGGCGAGCGCGTGACACTCGACTGATATAATACCCGCCGGCGGGGCGCTTCGCTGTAGGTAATTATCGGATGTACCGCGCGGAGTGAGCCAGGCCTGTCCACGCGTACGAAGTCGCTTTATCTATCAGTTTACTATAATTAATTATGATTAACTGAAATCAATATGTCCAAATATTTAGTTGGTATGTACCTACTGCTAATTAATAAATTAAATGAAAGTTAGAAATGGCACAAGATAATAAAAAATAATGTTTACATTGAGAAAAAACATTGAAATCAAAAAATATAGCATTGTTGGTTAGATCAAAAATGTTTTATAAACAAAGTTTTATCATATCATTTTATTTATTTTTTACTAGCTTTCCGCCCGCGGCTTCGCCCGCGTGGAATTTTGTCTGTCACAGAAAAACTTTATCGCGCGCGTCCCTGTTTCAAAAACCGGGATAAAAACTATCCTATGTTCTTTCCCGGGACTCAAACTCTCTCTATGCCAAATTTCATCAAAATCGGTTGCGAGGTTTAAGCGGGAAAGCGTAACAGACAGACAGACAGACAGACAGACAGACAGAGTTACTTTCGCATTTATAATATTAGTTGGGATTTTAATTTTAATGTGTAATAAGACATTTATTTCCTTAACTACCCAACCTTAGATGTGTCAAGGCGGAGACTTCACCAACCACAATGGGACAGGTGGGAAATCAATATACGGGAGGAAGTTTGAAGACGAAAACTTTACGCTCAGACATACAGGCCCTGGTATTCTGAGTATGGCCAACTCTGGACCTAATTCGAATGGGTCACAGTTCTTCCTATGTACTGCTAAGTGAGTAACTATCATTTTGAAGTCATTTAGGTGTAATTTGCCAAGCTCAGGCGCAGACTACTGTCTTTTATTTGGCCGATAGTTGGATCGCAAGTACACTAAGCGGGAAATTGGTCGAGTCGAGACTTAATTTAGTGTAAATGTTACGGTTAATGTGATAAATTGAAAATTATTAATAATAACCGGTTATTATGAATAATTACCGACAGTCGCGGTAAAAGTGATAAATTAATCACATTTAACAGTGATTATTTAATAATTCAACCTTAGTACTAACAAATTTCATAAAAGAGAACAACATCTTATGTACGTGCTCGCGTACAGCCAAACTTTTGAACGTTTTGATATCATATATTAATATAATTTGGCATAATGAGTTTTTAATGTTTCTTGCATAATATTACTTTTCCATGATGCCTATAACATAATGTTTTGATTTAAAGTGAAAAATAGGTTAAGGTGCGGCGGGGGTGGGCCTTGGGCCACCCCTAAGCCGTCTATTTAGTTTTATACACACATAAATGACCTCATATTAATCACATTTACCAAATCATGCGGTGATTATTCATAATAACCGGCGATTATTCATAATTTTCACATTTATCACTTTGACCGTAACATAAACACGCACTTCAGTTAGTGTCGTCGTGAGTCTTACTTGGGTGTGCGTGCTCGCGCTTCGTCTCGGTCAATATCCGGCATAGTGTACCTACTTGCGACATAATACATATAAACATTACGGCCGTTTGGTGTAGTGATTCAGAACGGACTACTATGCCGAGAGGTCCCGGGTTCAATGAGGGCTATCGTTTTTATACTTAACAGTTGGCACCCCTGGCGTTTGACAGGACCTTACTCTACAGTGGCGCCATCTTGATGAGTGCAAATGCAATAGTCCTCCTACCACTTTCGCGCTCACCAGTTGGTGCCACTGTCTTCGCTACTAGCAAGTGACAGGACCTTACCACGGTAATACTATCATACAGTATTGTAACTTCATATAAACGGACGAAACGCGAACTTTCCTTCGAAATTCAAATCTCGGTATGCGCTCGACATGCAAAAGTCGGGAGTGTCGCGAATGTGCCACGGTAATAAACGGATGATGTGTTGTTTTTGAAACAGTAAGCGATCTTTTTTATAAAAATAATTACAACTACCTATTTATACAGGGTGTTAGGTAAATAGGTTTATAAGCTAACACTAGCCCATGTTAACATATTATGCATATAAATGGTATGGTGAAGTCAGTGATATCATTTTAATTTGTTTAATTTTCATACAAAATAAAATTTATAAAATCAGATTTTTATGCAAATTAAAATTATTAAAATGATGATTTCAATTTTCTGACTTCACTAAGTATACCATTTATATGCACATGTTAACATGAGCCAGTGTCGGCTTATAAACCCATTTACCTCAGTCGAGGCGCATACATTTTACGGTCGCAAATATATAGGATTTATTACTAAATTTTAACACATATATAATTTTTAATTAAATCTAATAATCACAAAACAACATGCATTTTATCCTATTTCATTCAGTAAGTTATTTTGTTTGTCAAAGTAAAATAAAAAATTACAATCACAAAATACATTCACAAAACTAGATAAAAATTCTAAGTAGGCAGATGTAATGAAAATAGGGTCTGGTGGGCAGCCCTATCGCATGTTGTCATACGGTGACGTACCGCGCGGCTGTTGACATTTATTTCAAAAATCTGGCCGAGTTGGAATACTGTATAGATAGTATTACCGTGACCTTACTCTACAGTGGCGCTAACTGGTGAGCGCTAAAACGATAGCCCTCATTCTCGGCCGGACAGAAATTGAAATAATGCATTTTAATTTCTGTGACGGGTCTGCTCTGGATGTACCTACCTATGTATTAAAAAAAGTTATATCCGATAAGCTAGCACCCATAACACAAGCATATTAATTGCTTACGTTGGGGCTAGATGGCGCTATGCACATGTCGTGGCAGCTTTTAATTAAGGCGACATTATAAACATGTTTGTATTGATTTCAATGTTTCTTTCCATTTGATTAAATAAATCCTACTATAATATTATAAATGCGAAAGTTTGGATGTTTGTTACTCTTTCACGCAAAAACTACTGAACGGATTTTGATGAAACTTTACAGTATTATTGTTTATAACCCAGAATAACATATTATAGGCTTATAATTTATGACGATCTGTGATAAACGAAATTTCACGCGGGTGAAGTCGCGGGCAAAAGCTAGTAAATAAATAAATTACTAATATTATCCATTTATATCCACAGGACTGATTGGTTGGACGGCAAACACGTGGTCTTCGGTCACGTGATCTCCGGTCTGGACGTCATGAAGAAGATGGAGAAATACGGCAGCAAGGGAGGCGCGGTGTCCGCTAAAGTTATCATAAGCAATTGTGGAGAATTACAGTGATTAAGGATACTGTTGTCTTTTATTTTCACTGTTTCTTAGATCGTGATCGAGACCAAGAATTTTAGTCCCTCTGTAAGTAGTTTTTAAGTAGAAAATTATTGTAGTGGCCATTTTCAACTCAACGCTCAATTTCATCGTAGTCAAATTCACTGTAAAATAAAACCTACGTGCGGCTAACAAAATAATAATGCGAATAAACGTTATAACCACAGCAATAGTATTGTACCTAACATTTCAGTTCCAAAATTGCTATTTTTTAAATGAGAGGAAATCAAAACTTGTTACTTAAAAAAGTGTGGTCTAATAATGTTCATATTCCATTCCTTGTCCAAGTCCATTGGCGCAAAGTATAAACAAAATACAGATGTCTATAGTGAATAAATACCAAGTAGGTATANCAAGTGTATCTTTTGTTTGCTTCCATAAAATTGGGCAAAAGAAACGGCGAAAATTCCTGATAATACCGCATAAACTGGAAATGCTCAATTTCCCGGATGAAACATCGAATTTTACAGCTCTCTGATAGACGGATTGTTTTTTGATTTCATCAGTGAATGGGTTTTACCATCAAAACGAGATTTTCGCGGAGGTCGGACGAGGTTGACCTATTTCCAAGTTGCTTGGTCTACAAAAAATTATGAACTACAAGAAGCTTTGTAGTAGAGATGCACCGAATGTAGATTGAACCGAATACGAATGTTCGGCCGAATATTCGGTTCAAAATGTACCGAACCGAATATTCGGCCGAATCATTCGGTTCAAATTTTATTAAAACTTAAATTTCTGTTAAACTACAGTTTTATTTAAATTTGTGAACGGATGATATAATTTGTCTATTGTTGATTTTAAAGAATTTTATTTGAATTACATTGAATTTAAACTACACCTAGTTCACTATTCACTAGCATACCTACATAGATATTTATTTAAAAAAACTAGTTTATTATAAACATATTTGAATACCTGTTTTGCTTCCTTAAGATAGTAGTTATTATTACATCATAACTATTCTAAAAAAGTTTTCTGAAAATAGTTGTTTGTTACTAAAGCAGTGTCCTTAAAATTTTCAATTTCATAAAAATTAAATTTACCGTCTGTAAAGCAGCAGTTTCTTTGATAAAATAATTATTTATTGATTGTTAATCTTTTTATTTCACAATAAATAATTGGTACAAGTAGTGTCTGTTTCATTTTCAAAAACTATAAAATACTTTCGCAATAAACCACACTTATTTAGTAATTAGTTAACCAAACTGTTTAATTAAATATTATTTTTTCAATTGTTAACAATAATTTTAATATTCGGTAATTATTCGGCAATTCAACCGAACATTCGGCCGAATACGAACATGAAAAAATATGCCGAATGTACCGAATACGAATATTCAACCGAACATTCGGTGCATCTCTACTTTGTAGTAAGTGTGAAAACAATCTTTGTTTATCGCACCGTTCGGCAAAAGTTGTACAGATAAGATAACAGCAGTGGCGTAGAGTGCCCAAGATGGTCCCTGTATCAACATTTATTGGGGGCCCTTTCAACTAAAAAAGAGCCATCGAGGATCAAGGGATTTTTTCCAAAGAAGTGTCATCTAAAAAGGTCTTTTCAAAATGGTTTTTACCCGACTGCGCCAGAAGGAGGGTTATGTTTTTCGAGTGTATGTATGTATATTTCTTTGGCACGGCCTACAGCCTAAACGGCTTGACCGATTTTAGCGTGACAGGTGTCGTTAAATTCGTCTTAATCATGAGAGTGACCCTGGCTATGTTAAATTGAAAAAAAAAATCAATGGATTTTTGGCGCCATAATGTCTTCAGGAAATTTTTTTTTTCAAAACTTATCGAGTGGGGTATCAAAATAAAGGACTTTTTAAGTAGCTTACAAAAATTTATGTTATTAAACTAAAAAGATTAATATAAAATTATTATTGAATACACAAAAAACCCAACTGCGTAAAAATTAACTAAAAAGATAAAAACAAGACAACTTAGTGTTCACAAATGCAGTGGAGGCATCCCATCCCAACTAATATCCCAAGTAACTCTGTCTGTCTGTCTGTCTGTCTGTTACGCTTTCCCGCTTAAACCTCTCAACCGATTTTGATGAAATTTGGCATAGAGATAGTTTGAGTCCCGGGAAAGAACATAGGATAGTTTTTATCCCGGTTTTTGAAACAGGGACGCGCGCGATAAAGTTTTTCTGTGACAGACAAAATTCCACGCGGGCGAAGCCGCGGGCGGAAAGCTAGTCAACTATAAATCACCAACAAAAGAATTAGTCATTGATGCCTCCGACTGCATAATTGTGAACACTAAGGCTGAGTTACACCACCTAACTTTGACCGTAACTATAACGATAACCGGTGTTTATTGTATGGAGTTTGACAGATTTTTAACGTTTGACAAGTTAAAGTAATATCATAATATGGTGCAACCCAGCCTTACTGTATTAAAATCTGTGGTATTACAGTTAAAGTTAATTACACACGTCATCTTTTGGTATTGTAATCATGCATTAATTATTTGTTTGTATGAAGGTGTTGTTGGTAAATCTAATTCAACAAACTAAATAATTATTTATTATAAAATATAGCGTCATTAAAATCCTTTTGGGGCTGGATAAGCAATTACATCCTTAGGAGAATAGGAGTTAGGAAGAGTAGTACCATTTGTTGATTGATATTACAATAAATTGTACACGTATTTTACATGATAATAACAGATTCTAGAAAAGAAACTAGAATCCACTCAAAAATAATTTATCTTTCTTGTTTTCTAAGTATATAAGTTGGCACGTGCGTTATTCTTACTTATTAGACAGAAAAAAATCAAATGATAGCGCGAGCTAACAGAGCACAGTGCCATCTAGCGGCGAATCATAATATGTATTAACTAATAACGTGTTTGTGATAGTCGGTGGTTTGCTTGACATTAGTGGTTAGTTTTTTTTTTTTTTTATATTATTTATTGAAATACCTGATGTCAAGTCCTATTTATTCTTATAAAAATTTTGTAATATTATCAATTGTTGGGTTTAGTAGCCTAAAATCTGTCAAACTCCATACAAAAACGCCGGTTATTATCGTCACAGTTACGGGCAAAGTTAGGTGGTGCAACTCAGCCTAAGTTGTCTTGTTTTTCTCTTTTTAGTTAATTTTTACGCAGTTGGGTTTTTTGTTTTGTTAGTAATTTGTTTTTTTTTCAGACGGGACGCCTCAAATTTCCTCCTTTGTACCTAAGCTTCATAAAAATCCTAGGGTTTCTAGACAGTTACCTTCTCTGCCTACTTAATTGTTCATAGTCGGATGCTCTTGAAGCCCGGGTCTGGATAACAGTACCTCTAGTAGGAAAAACTTTCGAGTTCGTTTCGTTGCGTATTCAAAGTGTCATCGAAAAATTTTGTATGAAAATTAAACAGCGCCCCCTATATTATAGCCGCCCTAGGGGGCGCTGTTTAATTTTCATACAAAATTTTTCGATGACACTTTGAATACGCAACGAAACGAACTCGAAAGTTTTTCCTACTAGAGGTACAGTTCTCCGATTTTTAACCGACTTCAACATTCTTGTTTTCATCGATGCGAAATAGTTGCCATTTGGTTCCATAAAAAATTGATTTGATTTGGTTGAGTAGGTAGTTTTTATTTTATGAGCATTTTTAGTTTTTAGCATGCTCGCGTGAACATTTTGTTTCTTCAACGCTTAAAACAAAAATATTGTAAGCCATTCTTGTAGGTTGATGTTGATAGGTAATTCTTCGACGAGACAGTAAATAATGGCACATTGTTTTGTGAATTGAGTACTTATCTTATTTCTTATTTATCACCTGTTGGGCGGCGAGCCCATACATTTCCTATGTATTCTGTTTCGGTGTTTTTTATAAATACAAACCTCTTATTTTTCCGATGTCTCTATAAAAAATCAAGACAGAAAATGAGGTATTTTATCACGAGTCTTTGATCTTCAGAGTAGTCGATAATTTGTTTTTCATCATTTTAAATAGGTAGGAGCGGATAAAATTCTTATTCGTATTTTATTACATTTCTCTGTCTAACGAATTATTCCAAGATAAAACTTTATCAATCTGGCCCTGAAAATAGGGTTAGTTTTCAATTTACTGTGTAGGGAAATACACCTATTTTCAGTAACTAGCTTTAAAATTAATAAAAGTTATAGAGTTCGAACTGTTAAGAGTAGGCGCACACTGTTGATTTTTAGTTGGCCGATAGTTGTGCCCGATTTAATTTGTATGAAGAATCGCCCAAATCGAATCGGCGTAGTGTGCGCACTCCCATAGCATGTACCTACTCCCGTACGTACCATACTGATCAACTGCCCGACTACACTATCGGCCGACGAAAAATCAACGGTGTGCGCCAACTCTTAACCCTCTGCGATACTTTATGAGAAATTTGCATTTTGATGGCTTATAAAAAACTAAAATAACATGATCACAATGTGATTGAAATAAATAATAATAATAATAATTTAGTATAATTGCCACCCAGTATTATAATTTACACTCTACAAAAAGCCACTATCCTAAACACTTGCCGAATTACTAGGAAATTTTTATCTTCTAATTTAACGACTACTGCCTTACATCCTATTTCACTTGACTGAGGTCCGCGTAATAGATTAACTACCCAGACTTTTATTTATAAAAGAATGGAGAAAAAATAAAAACTAGAAAAATAATAATTATAAAAAAAATATGTGCATTGTTCACTGACTACTATTTCAAGTAGGTAACTTTAACCTATTGTTAATTTAACCCTGTAAACCATGGTTATATTATACGGGATAGATCCCGGTGTAATCCGACACTCGCAAGTGATATCTTGCGATCAGTTACTGAACGTAATTAACTCGCATCGGTTACATGTAGACCAGTAAGCCAGTGGTACCCAAAGTTTGTATCCATGGAAGACCAGGGTCGTGGTGGATACCGTTTCGGTGACACGCACATTAGCTAATCTATTTAGTTTTACTTTTGTTTTCATATTTTT